TTTTGTGTGCAATTTTTTTTTTTTTTTAAGTGATGAAATTTGTGTGTCAAACGTTTTTTTTTTTACAGTGACAACGAATGACGTATAAACCAAACATATTTCATTTGTCGTGGAAAATCTATCCGTCTTAATAATAATCACATATGAAACTTAAGGACCTAAAAATTCAATGAAGTAAATGACTCACAAATCTAAGATCCAAAATAAAGGGTCAAAGAAATTAAGGAAGTTATCAAATAGGACATCCCCCCGCCACAGATCCATGGATTTAGGGGTCACCTTAAATTTTAGGGCCAATTTATTTGAAAAATGTGACAAAAAGTTGGAACAATTGAAGCTTGCAAGCTGTGATTCAACAACCCAACAAAGGTAATGACAAATGTGTGTCACACATTGTGGGGTTCATCTCCCTTGAGTCCCTTAATTTACATCATCCAACAAATCTTGTCTGATGGACTAAAAGTGAGATCGAACGTAAATGAATATACACACACATACATACATATACATAGAGTGGCATTATTTCCGAAAAAATGTCACATTTCAAGGGCAACTCACTGCTTATAAACACTTAGTCCATGTTTGATGGTCATTATTTCCAAAAAAACAAAGTTTTGGATTGTGATTTTTATGAGAATGTATGGTTAAGAAGTATGAAAAAGATTTGAATTTACGTTTATAATATTTTATTTTGTGAAAGTGTGATTGAAAATGAGTACTTAGAAAAAGGAGTTTGAAAATAATGATCGTTAAACATGGGCTTAAGCCTTTTTTTATCAATACATTCGAGAACCCATAAATACTATCTACTTATACACCATTTACTTCTATCTATTTATAAATTAAACCATTTATAAACCCCTTTTAAACATGCTTTAAAATAAGTAGGATAGTGCATGACCTATCCCAGATTTCAAGCTTTGCCCTTTATGACATCTTCGGCTGCGAGGAGGATAGCCTTAAAGAGGAAAAAAATACTAAAATTATGATTATTATTATAATATCCAATTTTGTCCAGTTACTACGTATCCAACATGCACTTAAGACTTAAAAACGATGCTGATGCAGCAAGTTGTTAGGCTTCCTACTGTTCTTGTTCGGCCAGCCGTCTCAAAATAACAACCACAAAATTTTTCAATACAAATGCAAATAAAGATCACAAGTACAATAATTCAAACAGTTTTCAGATCACCCTATCAAGATGGCCATCGGCCTCTGAAAGCATCTCAGCATCCAAGTATTTCAAAATAAGATTACATCAAGATGGTCAACTAGCCTCACTAAATCCACCCTATCAAGGGTGGAAATTCAGATAAATCCTTCTCACATCTTATTTATTACTCAACCGCATTATATTAAAATATGGAAATAATAGAGAAACGGGCTCTTCCATTGTTTCCTAGCAAGAGAGAAACTAAGAACTAATCAAAATTACTCGACTACATTGGGTTGACTTGTGAATTAACCTGGCACTTAGTATGTGTATCCCTTAACAAACATTCCCTTCTTAGCTTCCTCGCTCTCACCTTCAGCTGAGTACTTTCCGAGCTGTGCCAAGGAGTTTGCCTTTGCACGCACCAAAAGTGACTTCTGTGCAGCTTCTACGTTCTCTGGGCGTCCTTGCCATGTCTTAAGCACGGTGTTCTGAAGTGCTCGGGCATAGGAGAAAGAGACATGCCAAGGATTGGGACTCTGGTTCATTGCGTTGAGGTTCAATGTTGCCTCTGCTTCAGATTGTCCTCCTGACAAGAACTACAAACGGAAAGAAATTTTATTGAAGGGACATTAAATCAAAAGAAGTGTTTGTTAAGTATAAGCAAAACTAGGAACACTCAAAGAATGACCCCAACGTTTACTGTGTGATGCAAGGAAAAAGAGCATTCCTGATTCAATTATTCAGTTCAAATTGGCCGTATTCTTTTTCGTAGAACTGTTTGTTAATATAAAATGAAAGCAGGACAGTTCAACACATCAACTTGTTAAAAGGTCACCGTATATGGTAAATTTGGCTGCACCAATTTTATTTTTTATTTCTTTTCGTTTCTATATGTGCTTTTTATTTGAGGACCTCCAATTGGTGAGCTTGAAACTCCCGTTTCTTTAGCTTTGACCCTCTATATTATAGTCTACAGCCTTGCCTCACCAAACATTTGAGGTTACACACTTGGTGCCTTGGGAAGAATGTGAGCTATTCGGAGATGAAGGTTTAAGATTCATAGTATTAATCTAATTGATAGGGGGTCCATGTTTTAATACCATGATTCCTGGAACTGCTGGAGGCACTCTCCTTTTAAGCATGGTGAGTGTATATTTGGCAATGGTCTCTGGAGAAGCCTTCTCTTTGTGTTCAGCACCTGGAGTTACCATGCTAGGTTTAAGTAGAATGCCTTCAAAGACAACATTGTTCTCTGCCAAGTAGTAGAAAACTTCTGACCACACACGCTCTGCCACTTCAAGCGTCCTCTCAATTGGGTGGTCTCCATCCAGAAGAATTTCAGGTTCTACAATAGGCACAAGACCATTGTCCTGCACAAGAAATCCCAAATTCATCATCTAAATTCACCACCCATAGAAAGTAAGATATCTGTCTTGTTCTTCAGATTTTTAAGAATAAACACCAGGATTTAATTAATAAAATTAAACAAGACGAGCATGCTCAGGAAAGAAATGCAAGGAATAAAGTGGAATTGGAATTTAGATAGGTACCTGAGAAATAGCAGCATAACGAGCGAGACCCCATGCTGCTTCTTTAACAGCCAAAGCAGAAGGACCACATGGTATGCTGACGACAGTTCTCCTGAAATATCAGAATGCAAAAGAGAAAAGATCAGCATATAAAAGGAAACAATTTATTGACATGGACATCCCAAAGAAGGATACAGCTGACATTTTAAAATGAAAACAGCACACCATTTTGCAAAACGAGCCCCTTGCTTATAGTATTCAGCAGATCTAGAAGCCAATCCATCTAGCCCCTGGCACCAAGATTCATTGTTGGATCCTGGTAGCGGAACCAAACCCTGTCAAAAGAAATAACAAAACAAAACACAGTGGTATGAAATAGCAGCTCTAACTGAAAGTTCAGGTAATTTGGTGATCTTCAAAACAAAAAAGGTACATTTCCTATAGAATAAAGTAATAACAAGCTTACCTTATCAACTTTGATACCGGGTACAATATTCTCATCTCGCAAACAGTCCACAAACTTCTTTCCATCTGTAGTTGACTGGTAAAGTGTCTCTTCGAAGAGAATGGCACCAGAAATATAGTCACCGAGGCCGGGAGTGGTCAGCAGCAGCTGTCTATAAGCCTGTCTGTTTGTTTCTGTGTTGTCAAGTCCAATGGATGCCAACCTTTTTCCACATGTTGCATTTGATTCGTCAATGGCAAGAATACCCCGACCCGGAGATGCAATTGATTTCTGTACACGAAAAGAATAAAACCGAAATGAGAAAATGCTTTAGAAATGGCACCGAAGCTAAACATCCAATTTATCAATGAGAAAGCAACAATATTTATCGCATAAAATACATAGAACTATTCAGTTTACAATTACTAAGCAAGTTTGGGTGGAATTATATGAGCTTCCTTATTTTAGTTATAAGAGGAGACAAAATATTTTATGCTGCTAAGAGAACAGAATCTTTTATGCTATTCTAAATAAGTCATCTCAACTTCAAAACCTTTTCACTTGTATCTCTAGTTTGGGTTTTAAATTCCAGATGATATAATACACGGAAAATATAGCTGGAGATGATTAACACATGCTTCCACTAGCCCAGATATTAACTATTTAGAAGTTTAATTAATCGATTTCAATTAGTAAATAACAACAAATGTGGATTCCTAATAACAATTGAATAACAAACCATTTATAATCAATCAGCATATATATCAACAGATTGGTGTCATGCCACAACGGACTGAACCCTGAGCTCACCACAGAGTTACAATAAAAGCTTCCTTATCAAATGATAGAAAACAATTTTTTGAAATTTCATTAGCTACAAGATTTTGTTCAATCACTCGTATACCCTTATAAATGGGTTAGCAATAGCATTAGCCATTAATCATCTCAAAAAATCTAAGACTCTCATTGATTAATGCTAAATTAGATCTTTTTATATTAAAGCTAGAAAAAGAAAAAGAAAAGGCAGATCAACATTACTAATAATCTAACTAAAAAATATTTGATCCCGTGTTAACAAATCTGTCAAAAATCAATATCGGTTATCTATCCATGCAAGCATTCGCTTTAAAACTCCAGGAATAATTATAAAATTAAAACAAGTTGAATACATCAATAAATCGTACATGAACACAATGTTCCCATCAATGATCAATCCGAAACTGAGCGTCTTAGTTTAACTTGGTAATGAACAAAAAGTGAGAAGAAGACAGTATCGACAGAAAGTTGCTGGCTGTATAAATCTTTAGCGACAATTCGTCAAAGTCAAACCGTAACATTCAATTGGATAAACCCAATATGTACATCTATGAAACAATATGTATTTCATTATTTATAAATTCTCAAAATCGAGACAGCTTACGGCGGTTTTAAGGAGCTCATCGGTGTAAGAGCCGGCGCGGATGACAGATACACGGCGAGAACGCAAAGGACCGGCGGATCCGGGGCGTTGATTGAAGGACTGGTGGCCGGCGATCCAAGATGAGGAGGCGGCGTTCAATTTCACCATACTCGAGGACGCCATCTTTTTGTTATTACACGGACGGACGGGGAGGGAGGGAGGGAGAGAGATTTGATAATCGGTGAGTCCGCAGCTTTTCAATAAAATACAATCACCATGCGCATCTACCAAACACTCTACTGTGCTAATGCATCAAAATATCTGTAGTTTTACTAAACTACCCCTGGGGGTTGGTGGGAGTTTTTTAAAAATCATCACCTTCCTTCGTAAATATTTGTATGAATTTCATCCGAAATCACAACTTCAATTTAGTTTTAACTTTTAATATTTACTACTCTTATGATATTTCGTTATCCATAATCCTCTAAACTCACAAAAATTGCTTAGTTGGTAATAGCGACAAAGCCAAGCATGAATAAAGACAATACTCTGATAGTCATAGCGATTGTCAGTGCTGATTCCGTCGAATTTTTGCTATATATTGCACAATCACTCGACGGGCGGGCACTCCTCTCTATCTATGCTAATTCATTCGAATTCCTAGATCTGCCATGGAAGCCATGACTCAGATTCAATGAAGATTTAATTTAATTGTCAAAAAAATTCAAATATTAAAAAGAATAAAACATGTCTCTGTGTGTGTGTATATATATATATATTTTTTTTAATTTCACGTGATGCAGTGTTAAGTGGTATATTAAGTAGAGATTACATGAAAAGTTATGTTGGAATATGAGTATTGAATAATCAAATACTATTCGTGACAAAGTAGTAGTATTCGAAATTAAAACTGAAGTTAAGTTACTCGACTAAATTGAACTTAGGTTATCCAATTAAGACCAAAGTCAACTTCGGTAAAATTTACCCTTCAACTTGTATCCATAATCAAAATTTACGAAAATGGAATGGTTCAGCTACCAACTGCGGTGGTGGTAGCTAGGATCTTAATTTAAATAAATATTAGTACACTTATGCCACGTTTGACTTTTTAAAATTACAACATTTGATTATCGTAATCAAGTCTAGTGCTTTAAACATGTTCTTAAAGATTTTGCAATGCACATTAGATAGTACTTGGCTCCTATTTGACAAGGATTAAATCTGAATTTTAATATAAGTCAAAATCAATAATTAATTTTAAAGTAAGTCGAAATTTCAGGACAAAATTAATATGTTGAAATATAGTTTAATTCTTTGTATATTTCATGGGACTGACAATTTTATCGATTTATATTAAACTCTACTAAAATTTTGATTTTAATCATCGCCAAACAGGGTACAATCTTCTTCTTTTTTATGATACATATATATACTAGGTGTAAGCAACATGCAATGCACGTTTGCCTAGTTTATATTTAAGAGCTTGTTTGATAGGGATTTTTTGGAGGAAGAATTGATTTTGAATAGTGATGTGATGGGAAATGTGTGGTTAAAAAAAAGATAAGATTATTGATGTGATGGAAAATATTATTTTATTGAAGAATGTGTGGTTGAAAATGAGAATTGATTTACTGTAGAATTGGAAAC